TTCTACAGAGAACCTTTGGGAAAATAGTTCGGTAACACTTTCTATGAATGTCACATTTGTAAGCATATATGAACAAAAATTATAACATGTTATAATGCATTCATATGGCCTTCTAAACATGATTATAAACATTTATAAAAATGAATTACACTTTATAGCCATGTTTATTATACATTATGAATTGTTAATATAATGCATTATAAGTAGTGTCGATAACATGTTATAATGTCAGTGCCAAAGAAGTCAGTCCCAGCTTGGAGAGCATAAAGACAAATACCAAGCTAACGGTGGTGTACATTACCTTTCCCACATTGGGTAAAACACTGATGGCAGCTCTAGTTTAAACTCTGACATTTGAAGCCTGTAATGAGCTTTATTATGTATGTTTTAGTGTTTCAGTAAATCCTTCAGTAAATACTTCAACTTGAAGCCTCACTCTTAACACTGGAGGAGGCTTTAGTACAGTACGCTTCACTTTACTTAGAGCGGACAAATACGATTTATGAGCTCTTATCATTTGTTATGATCAGTACTTATAATATATTATGTTAAGAATTCATAATGCATAATAAACATGGCTATAACGTACAATGCATTTTAATAAATATTTATAGCCATGTTTATAATGCCTTATGAATGCATTATAACATGTTATGAATGTGTTTATAGATGCTTACAAAGGTGACATTCATAGAAAGTGTTACCAATGGTTCTATGTAGCATGCAAAGGGGTTCTTCTATTGTTACAATGTCAAACTTGCTAGACAGAACCATTTTATTTTTTTAAAAAGGTTCTATATAGAACCATATTCAACCATTTAAGGTTGAAATGGTTCTACATAAAATTCATGATTCTAAATAGAACCATTGCCTGTACCAAGCATGTTTCTTTACTATTCCGAGCACAAAAAAGGTCTTGCTTTACTATTTTTTTTCTCTTAAACCTTACCCTGACCTCTCTCCACACCTCGTCCACTGTTCAGATAAATTGCGAACAAAATTCATTTAGTCATTGTTGATAAAATCCATCTACTGTTTTTTTTGCAAAATCAAGCTGTTAGTGAAACACTCATACATTTAATGAAACACTCCAGCATTTTCAACCTAATCCATATTAGGTTCATCTGTATCATATGATCAGTTACCACTGACCATAATTTCTATAGAGGTCGTTGTACAAAAAACCCATTGACTCAATCCATACATATAATGGAAGCCAATAGGCAGGTGCAACTTGCTTCAGTTATACTAAGCGTTAAAATCCATCCTTTTTTCTGGTTTGATGATGTTTGTACAAAAGGAGACCCCTCTTTATGGCTTGGGGTGATCAGTAAAGCCCCTGATTGGCAGAATAATTGCTTTGGCAGAGGGTAAATGGAGGGCTTAGCAGAAAAGCAGCTGCTAGGAAGACCAGTCTGCTTGAGCCGATTCTGTAATGCCCCATCTTCTGCTTTTAGCCGCTCCCCATTCTTTCTAATGCTGCTGCCCAAGCCTCTGCCCTCTCACCCCACAGCTCTCAGGACTTAAAAAAGGCCACTCTGCCTGAGCAGCTTCCTCCAGTTTAAGGCCTCTTCCTTTCCTGTCGATGCTACTTAAAGGAATACACATTTGTAATACAAGCCAATGGGCAAGTGCAGGTGTCTGTGTCTAACAGGTTCTCTGTTCTGTTGCTAAGTATAGGCATTCATATCAAAATTACTTTTGGCAATCGACTATATGTTACTTTGGAAGATAGAGGTTTGGTTGGAGTTGTCCTGCCTGAAATGGAGGAAGGTCTTTCAGGACACAGATGATTCACGTTTGTGGATCATTATCACATGAATGATACACATTAGTCTATTTAATACATTCCTGCTCATTCCATTGGAGTCTGCAGTATCACCTTATGAAGCATTATGATGCTTTAATGTGCCTAGTATATGTGTTGGTATGTAAGGTGGCCAGTTAGCTCTTTACAGGCTTTTAGAGATGGAAGCTGCAGGGTCTGAGAAAACGCTCCTTCCTCTCATCACCACGGCAACCGCTGCAGTGGTTTGAGGCGTCAGCCATTTTGTGGGCTCGCTCTCTTTGCACGTTTGTGGAGCTTAATAAAATGGTGGCTTATTATGAGGTAGAAAATATCTTATTGGCCTGTGTTACATTATCTGACCTTATATCATTTTTCCACCATATATTCATATATATTATATGGGTTATGCCCTAGGAATATGTATATATTTACTCTTGTATTTGGCATAGAAGATACAATTAGAAGATTCGAAATGATCATTATTCACTAGTCATTCTGCATTACTGTCTCAAAGGAAACATCTGCATTACCGTTTAGATTAAATATGTGCTGCTGTGTTGTGAGAAAGCAATGCTCTGTCATCGAGCTTCATTTCCTCAGCAGGCTCCACTGTGTCACTACACATGAGTCAGTGTGTATATCAGCAGGACTGGGGCTGCTGCTCCTGGGAATGATTCTCTGGCACTGAGTGAGAACAGAAAATATCCTGGTTTTCAGCCATTCGTTAGACAAAAGACTGTAAGCATCTCAGAAGCAGACAATGGTGGATCAAAGAAGGATTGGCTGATTGTCAGTAAAACTGTGTTTGATGTAAATCTCATGTTTATCATTTATGACCTATAGCAGCGGTTCTCACACTGGTCCTCAGAACCCACCCCCACCCCCATCCACTGACAGTTCACAGTTTTGCTCTATATTAACTCCCAATGTGTAAGGAAAGAGCAAAAGTATGGACCATCTGGGAGGCCCTCAGGACTGGTTTGAGAACCATTGACCTATAGAACACTTTCAAGGACATAACTCACTATGAGTCAGGTTTATTTTATAGATACTGTTCAGATGAATGACAAAGTAGGCTATGAATCAAACTCTGCTGCATTACACCTACATAAGGCTTTCATGACAACTAACATGAATCTACATGAACTTTTATTATGGTGTTACTCCAACAAGGGTAAGGCCCAATCCTGTTTCACCTCTCGCCCTCACCATTTAGCCCTTATCCCTCCATTCTGCGCATTCGCACCGGGGGTAGGGTGTCCTGATTTTTGTTGAGATAGAGGGGAAGGGAGAAATATTAGGGCTACATGGCCCTCCAAATGGAGGTTTTCCAGAGGCACTCCAAACAGAGTGTTATGAGAAAAAAAAATGGCAAGATGGCTGCACAAACGACCAAAGAAGGCAACAAATATGAAAATTTTCTTAATTAAAAATTATAATAACCATTGTTTTATCTTAGTTTAATATCATTTCAATGTATTATGGTACTTTTCTTCATAACAAACTTACAACATCACTAGTAGCATGCTGTTGTCTTGGTAGCTAGCTAGCTAAATTAGCCAAGTTACATTCACAACTAAACTAACTAAAGCCCAGCAGTGAGGAGCTGAACTTTACCCTCCTCTGCTGTCACTGCAGACTGGCAGGGTCGCCTACAGAGCAGCGCTAGTAGCTGTTAATGAAGTAATACTCTTTTTATTTGAGGGTCCCATTTCATAGGGAAGATTTCAACCACTTCACTTCGTAACTTAGTTTCAAGGGGCAAAGTAACACTCAAAAACAAAGGTAGGGGTAAAAAAATAAGAAATGGGATTGGCTCTAAGTTGCCATTTGACCTCAGCAAATGTTATGACAGCTTGGAATATGCCTTTATTAGAGTCAATATAGATTTAGGTCAGGTGTCATCAAAAGCTTGTTTAGTTGTAGCCTTATGAAAGCAGCTCTTCAGTAAAGTGTCGTCATCATGATACAGATGTAGGCAAGTGCTAGGGGTGTGGCCCAAGCATTCTGATTGGTGTAGAATCAAACCCTAGTCTGCAGCAGTGTTACCCACTACACTACATCACATATTATATCTGTAAAGCCTTTGGTATCTGAAGATATAGTAGACTTCGTAAGTGAATGTCCTACTTCATAAATCTCAATAGAGCTTTTTATTCTGAAGCTGATGTTTTCCCTTCTTGGTGTTTCGGAGCTGCTTTAATATGACTGACAAAGTGGGTCATCTCCCTGAAAGCTCTGAAAGCTATGGAAAGTATTACTCTGCCATTGCGTTCTTCTACAGAGCAAAGCAGGCATGTAGAAGTTTCTTAATTTAGCAAATAATATGCTTAGTAAGTAGTGTAACAAGTGACAGACAGACAGACAATAAATAAATAAATAAATTCTCTTTTTGGGGATTATACTTGATCACCTACTCTGTGTGCACCAACACAAACTGGGATTATTTCATTATAAGAGTATTGTAATATGACCTGCTATAAGCTAGTGATAACAACACATTGGGCGTTTTCCCACTACACAATCAAAAACAAGAACTAACCCAAAACCATCCAATGGAATTCATAGTTCCAGTTGTGGTTCATTTTCTACCCGCTTGTGTAACAACCATTATAGTAACCATGATCAACAATTTATGGTCATTTTTATGGTCTTTTTGGTCATTTTAAGCCACTTCAAAGCATCCAATTTGGCTACTTAGCTAACTTGCTTGTACAAATATCTCCAATTTGCATGAAATCAAGCAAGGCTTCAGTTTTTCTCTTAAGAGTGTGAAATGAAGCATTAGCTATACTTACTATGCTTACTAGTTACCTTAGCTTAACATTAGTTTATTTTAGGTTACATTCTGGTGCACTTATTGGTGGAATAATAGTGCTTGGTTCATTTATCTTCACCTAGAAGAGAAATTCAATTGCTAAATTGCTAAATCTTTGTTGCAGTTGTTACCAAAGACATCATAAAGTGCATCATAAGGTCCTGCTGGTACTAATCTTGTATCTATAAACCTGAAACTTTTGGTACTGGACCAATGACCACTGGAAAAAGCACAGATCCTTGTTTTCTGGTACTATGGAAAAATACCCATAGTAGTCATATGTTCTGTATATTCAAACAGTTAATATCAGTATCCACTGATCTAACAATACTATGTTAAGTAACAACTTGTCTTCAGTTTATGATGAGAAAATATACTCAATGCCAGACATGGTTGTGAGTTCTGACAAACTTTTATTTGAAATGTAAGTGTTCCATTAATAAACAAGAACATAAACAAATAAACAGCCATATAAATATCTGCATTATAAAATAAAAGCAAAACATGAAGCGCTAAGCATTTTTAAAAGAAGGTTATCACGGTCGAATACAGAAAGGTATTCAAGCAGCAGACAGACATTTAGATATATATAGATAGATTCATAGTTAAACAGACAGGAATGGCATTCCGGTAGCATTAAGAGTTGGCTGTAATTACAAACACAGAAGACTCTAGAGAGATGGGATGGGGTAGCACGCTAAAAACCATAGGTATTTTTTTCCTTTTTTTTTTTAGTTTTCAAAGTTCAGATGATTGAAGAAATAAAGCGAAAGAGAAGGAAAAACACAAAAATATGCACAAATTTTCACAAGCCCTAAGCTACGATTGCGTGTCTTGCAGAGACTGCAGGTTGTATTTACAGTTGGGTTAGTCAGTGAGCTTGAAGCTTTTGTATCTATAGCACTACAACTTGATCAGTTTTTCTCTTCTTTCTTTTATTTTTTTAGTTTTTCTTTTTTCTAAAAAATACTGAAACATTCCTGTGTTAGCCTGATCTTTGTGGCTCTAGTTTATACAGACAGGTTACATATCTTATTTACATTGTGATGAAGGGTTGGTGCGTTTAGGGTTGTGCAGAGTAGAAGAGGAATGGCCAAGCATGGAGTGGCCTAAAGTGAGTTTTCCTGGTGTTCTTCCCAGTTGATCCATGCATGCTCCGCCCACAACTGCGTTCTGTCGTAGCCACCGTTGCGCAAAGCTCAGTGTTTGTCAAAATATACATATGAAAGATATATAATGTTGTTATAGATCAGATGTAGCCCAGTTTCAAACACGACAACATAGTCCAGCTTGATAGCGTAGCATATTAAACTGGAAACTCCCATTATGTAGCGAATCTAAACACTGCAATTATTCTTAATTGGGTTCATTTTCTTTGATATGTCCCCAATTTGGTCGCGGCCAATTCCCATCAGCTAGCTAGGTCTCCTCCTATCACATGATGCTACCAAGCTGAGAGGGTGAAGAGCAGCACATGCTTCCTCCAAGATGTGGCATCTTTTCAAACTATTGCTAATGCTAAAAGATGCCCATGTTGCCTAGCATTGCTTTGAGTGATTCCCACCCAGAAATAATGCTGTCTTGGACTCCTGGCCATGGATGGACCATGCAGTCTCCCAGAGATGGGGCCAACACTTAGGCAGTTGCGCCACTTAGGAACCCCTGAATGGGATTTTTGCCAGTGGCCTGTAAATCTTGTCCAACTTCCCAACCTTTGCTATGAAGGAATGGATTTTTGGGTGGAGCATGGATAGGTCAACTGGAAAGTATCTTCATTCGCTTGAGAGCCACTTTAGAACATCATCAATGCGTTACATGTTGCATTGTTCATCCACGCTTCTTTCAATCCAACTGAGCATCCAGTGGATCTACCTATACCTTCCTAGCTTCTAATCAACCCCAAACATGTCAAGAACAATCCCACCAACCCAGACACCTTCCCCTTTAAGCACTTCAACGTAACTCTCACTCTGGGTACCCAAGCCCCCATTCACTCAACCAATATGGCATAACTCATAGACCAAAAGCTTGAGTAACTGCCACCCTATCCAAGGTTTAGAAAATGTGGCATACTTCATCTAATGCAAGTCCACAGGATTGATTTACAGCTATAACAGAATTCAACCACTGGATTCAGCCATTGACGATAGCTGTTTACATATCATTAACCTAACGTTGCCTTAATGATGCTCACAAATGTAATGACACCGAATCCAATCTTATTCCTTTTTCCTACAATATCAACAGCCCAACTTTTCAGTTGCTGGTGTTTTTGCATGGAAAATGCATTTTCTTATTTTCAATATGTTTTACTGCAACTTTCGCTTTAATATCTTACCTGCACTGCATAGTTCATTTTCAATACTCTTATTCATGTCGAAGTGGATCATGCAAAAACAAATCAGGACCTCTGGGGGCTATGGCACATCCTCTTTAGAAACCTAATACCGACATACTTCATTCTTGTTACCGCAAGAAGGATCTACTTCGCATTAAAATGAACACAAAAAAGCCTTAACATGACAAAGGATCAGCATTTTTTTTTCTTCAGTTATGCTATCTTACAGGACAGATTTCCCCACCTAAGGGGTCGCTTTTGGAATCTGAACAGATCTCGCCCTATTTAGTCCCTCTTGATGTTTCCATTTCCACAGTAAAGTACAAAAAATACCAGAAAACAAAAAGAAACTGGTGATTTGATTGCATCAAAATAATATGAAACAAAACAAAAATGGAGGTTAACATACAGTTTAAATGTGTCATCTCACAACAAAAGGATACTCTGATTATTATCCCCTTAAACTCTAAGACTTCCATTCCCCTCGTAACTACATAGTAGTGTCATAGTAGTTACTGAATACTCCATAGTAGATCCTGGATAATGGAAATAAATGAACAACAAGCCCAGAGTTTAAGGGGTTTAAACATTCTAGCGAGGGAAAAGCTAACAAGTGCAGAGGAGAAACGCTCAGATCCCCACAGCTATGATAATTCTCCACAGCTATGCTAACGCTTCACTCTGCCTTACTTCTTGTCCTTCTTCGTGGCCTTTTTCTTGCTGGCCGGAGTTGGGGCGGCCTTTGGGGCCTCTGCTGGAGGCAGAGCTTGGGGTGGAGGCAGAGCCTGCTGGGGCATCTGCTGCTGGGGGTTAGCCGTTAGCGTAGCGGTGCTGCCTGGGATGTAGACGTTCTGGCGGTAGTCGGGAACGTACTGCGCATTGTAGCGAGGACCCAAAGTCGCTGTGGCTTCACTCACTTCTGAGGGGAGAGTGAAGGACATGGGGGAGAGGGTGGGATAGAGTGAGAGCGGGGGGAGGTGGGAGGTAGAAAGAAAAAGGAGGAAGATAGGAAGAAGGAAGAGAAGGAGAAGTTATAGCATATGCAACTTAATGCAGAAAACATATGCTACCATTTAATAGCTTGGAATCACTTTCCAGGTCATTATTTTTGCTTTATACACAAGATGTAAAGAAAGGTCAGTCTTCTCATCTTAATTTAGCGATGGTGTTGTGTCTTACAGCATCTTATCTCAAGTTAGGAAATCCTAAACTACTCACTCAAGGTTGATAATCAATAGTTATGTCTGCCAGTCATAGTTGCCTAATAATGATGACATTTTCTTTTCAGTAGAATGTCTATGGGTGTAATATAATGTCTAATAGTAGTGACAGAAGCTTAAAAAAGAAGTTAGGACACCACTGATCACTATTGTCCTAAATTTGATCCTAAACTTTGATCCTGAAGTTGTCATGGTGACTTAACAGATAAGATTGAACAGTCATGTTTCTGTGAAATGACCTCTGGTTTCTATCACAATCAGGGCCATAACTTGCTATGAGGATAGTTGTGGAAAGGTTTGGGTTTTTACCACAATCTCCAATTATACAATTCAATGTGGAAACAGCAACATCTGCAAAATGTTTAGCCTAATAAGTAAAAAATGCGTTATCGATTGCATTCCCAGACTATCCAGTCAGCAGTGAGAAGGCTGATTCTCCATTGACCTCAAGGCAGCAAGATTCTATGCTACCAAGAGCAACTTTGACTTCTTGTTAAGCTGTCAAAGAGGATAACTTCACCTGTTCAGGTGGGAATGCCACTGCTATCATAATAAGAGCCTTGTATAATGCTACTGTTTAAATATAAGGCACCTTGACTTGCATGGACAATAAAAAAAAAACACTTTATTTTGAGTGGTCCTTTGTAGATGATTAATAAACTGTTAACAGATTATCAGTAACACATCAACAGCATATTAGTGAAGTATCAGTAGTGAAGCACCTGAATACACTGAAGTAAATATCTTGTAGATGTTCTGTTGATACATTACTTACATTAAGTAGATGTGTTAATATGTTAACCTAACCAACCTTACCCAAATCCTAACCCTAACCCTGGCCCTAATCCTAATCCTAAATTGAACCTCGACCCCAAACCTAATCCCAACCCTCAGATGTTTTTGACATGTTACTGAGAGTCCGTTGAGTGTTTGTTTCATCTAAAAATCAAAATAAAGTGTCACCAAAAAGTTTATTAAACAGTCTATTATTGGTAATTATAAAGAAAACTAACTCAATCAAAACCAGTGAAACTGTGTATTGGCTTCAATATGTAATGCTGAAATAGGAACATGATAGGCACATAACCTTTATATATGAGTAAAAGAGGAAGTAATGAAGTGCTAAAAAAATCAGTAGATCAGGAACTAGGATTTGGGGTAGTACACATATTTGGCCCTGTGCTTTTTCCAAAGCAGCTCACATTTCTGCAACATGGACCTCACTAAAATTTTGGTCCTTGTTATGTTTGTAAACGATTCAGACTCAACATTTTTCTTGGAATGCAGAATTTCGCATAAAAGCAGTCTGATTGACTCTCTGTGCCTTAATAACTGAATTAAGCAGACATTAAAAAAAAATTGGAATCCACTTTTATTTTTCAACTATTTGAAACCTGTAAAGCTGTACAGGTCTAGCATATTTCAATCATTTATATATTTATCTGCAACCAAGTTGGCTTTGTATTATCCAGTTTATTAGAATGGTAGTGCAGCTCACAGTAACTAAAGCTCTGCACTGCAGCTCTTTCTGTGACCCGCTTTTGCCTCTCCCTCCCCCATGCATTATGTATTCTGTAACACACACACATGTGCATGAGCACACACTGCTTGGACGATGTCGTAGGTTTAACAGTGCTCAAAGAGGAATACCCCCAAACAACACCCCAGTAATGTTCACAGCTCTCGTCAAATTCATGTGTTACAGACAGGGGTTTGTGGCTCATTGACAAAGCCGACCTTTATGAATTTCTTTCGTTATTTATTGACCGTAGTGATTCTTTGGTGGCTTTATGTGCTGCTATAAGTACTAAATAAATGGTGAAAAGAGCTAATTCATAATGTGCATCAGTGAATAGCTGGTCCTTAGGACTAATTCACCACACACACAGTGTTAGAAGGGGAAAAGTGGTGATAAGCCAGTGCCGCATTTGCAGGCAGTCTGCAGCTGTGTTACTGAGGAAGAAAGACTCTTCTGTCCTTTACCGCTCCATTAGTCTATTAAGAGTCAATGGGTGCTGTGCTGCATTGTGCTCACTGGAAGCATCTCTCTCTCTCTCTCTCTCTCTCTCTCTCTCTCTCTCTCTCTGTCCTTCTATCCCCCCTGTTTCATTTTACCTCCTCTGTTCTCTTATTCCTTAGTCCATATAGTGACAGGCAATCTTGCCTTGAGAGTTTGACCTTGAGGTGTGATGTCACTCACTGCAGAGGGAGAGGGGGTTTGTACACCATCCATTGATTTCACTCACATAGAGATTGAGGCAAACAACTGGAGTTACCATTCAAATGTTTGGATCAGCGTTTTCAGTAATATACACCCATCAGGCATAACATTATGACCACCTCCTTGTTTCTACGCTCATTGTCCATTTTATCAGCTCCTCTTACTATATAGGTGCACTTTGTAGTTCTACAGTTACAGACTGTAGTCCATCTGTTTCTCTGCATACTTTGTTAGTCCCCTTTTACCCTGTTCTTCAGTGGTCAGGACCCTCATGGACCCTCACAGAGCAGATACTGTTTGGGTGGTGGATCATTCTCAGCACTGCAGTAACACTGACGTGGTGGTGGTGGGTTAGTGTGTGTTGCGCTGGTCTGAGTGGATCAGACACAGCAGTTCTGCTGGAGTTTTTAAACACTGTGTCCACTCACTGTCCACTCTATTAGACACTCCTACCTTGTGAGTCCACCTTGTAGATGTAACGTCAGAGACGATAGCTCATCTGCTGCTGTACAGTGTGAGCTTATCATCCACTAGTCCTTCATCAGTGGTCACAGGACGCTGCCCACAGGACGCTGTTGGCTGGATATTTTTGGTTGGTGGACTATTCTCAGTCCAGCAGTGACACTGAGGTGTTTAAAAACTCCAGCAGCACTGCTGTGTCTGATCCACTCAGACCAGCACAACACCATGGGGGTCCTGACCACTGAAGAACAGGGGTAAAAGGGGGCTAACAAAGTACGCAGAGAAACAGATGGACTACAGTCTGTAATTGTAGAACTACAAAGTGCACCTATATAGTAAGTGGAGCTGATAAAATGGACAATGAGCGTAGAAACAAGGAGGTGGTCATAATGTTATGCCTGATCTGTGTAAGTCATTCATGAAATGTTTGACCCACGTTTATAAACATTTATTCCAACAAGTTTCATTTGTGTGATGAGGGTGATCATTTAGGCTGTGTCAGTCACTTTCTGGGGTTGTAGCTCAGAAAAAGAAAGTTTCATTTTACTAATTATCAGATTCGTGTTATGTCATATCTTCAGTATACTGTCACTGTGATAAGCACTAAGCTACAAAGTCTGTTGTTATAATGTACTATGTCATTTCACACAAAAACTGTTGACAACCCCATCAACAGGAGCCTTTATGACAGATGACATCTATTGAAAAAAGCCTTTATGTATGTTAATGTAGTTTTCATGATGAGCTTATGTAGGTGTCATGTAACCTTATGAATGCTACCATACAGTAAGTGTTTGAAATGTTAGATGTGTTCAGAGTGATGAATAGAGCTGCAGAAGGTGCTAAAATGGCTGACAAAGCTGTTGAACATTGAAACTGAAAGCCTCATTTTTGAAAAGTGGTTATTTTTTTTTACGCTTATGTGATTTTGTGAATTTTCACATCCGCTTCCTCAAGATCTGATGATTTTCATCTTGTTGCATAGCTACATAAATTAGTTCATAATGCCTCAATATGGTTCTTTAAGGTTCTTCTATTTAGAACCATGAGTTCTATACAGTACCATTTCATATATAAACGGTCCTTTGTATTGTGAGATGGTTCTTCAGACTGGTGGAAAATGTGTTGCATATGGTACTGTAGAGTTTCTTTTTGTAAATGTTTCTATTAGGCACCAAAAAAGTTCTGCTGTTGTTGCATGTAACAATAGCAGAACGCTTTTTTGTACTGCATAGGACCATATACCACAATACTAAAGAACCTTTGAAGACTCATCTTTTATTGCCACTTTTTTCTGCTTTGACGTTACAACTGAAGTACTTCAATAGCATTTTATTTCATAGGTATCTGGCAGCCTTTAAAAATGGCCTTTCAAGGGTTCTTTAGTAAGGGCAGTGGTGATATATGTAGAACCAAGCCCAACTCAATGAATCTGAATCTGAGTTTAAATGCATAAATGATTCCTTTTCAGGGTGAAATGGTTCTTTATGATGAGGGGAATCATGTATATATGGCTCTTTAAAGAATTTGTTTATAAATGTATCTAGCGCCAAAACGGATTATGCTATTGTTAGCTGTTTTTTGGTGCTATATAGAACCCTTGTTGTTAAGTGTGTAGTTGCCATAGCAAGATTAACTGCCACCACTGAAGTAGCTAAATAAAACATGTCAGCAAACTTTTGTAATTATGATGTTTACTGTTTTGCCACCAGACTGTTGTTATATACACTCTCTCTCTCTCTCTCTCTCTATATATATATATATATATATATTACATTTGCATGTGAACAATGCTGAGAGCTCTACATAATGACACACATCGAACAATGCTCTTCCCATATTGTTGCCATCAATGACAAGCTTCACAAAGTCAAGCTTCTATTCTCTTCTAAATCCAAATTTACCCCTTGGAAAGGACGATGAGAGAGACAGAGATCAAGGATGCAGGAATTTGACAGCGAGAGGAAAGATTAAATTCACCATTAGCAGCAGCCATCAGAGCCTGGAGCTGTTCGGCTTCTGTGGGGGGGTTGGGCCACGGTCCCGTCCCGCCTACTGCACCTGCACCAGCCTCTTCAGGACGAGGTCCCGCTCTGCATGACACACAGGTGCGGTTAGTGTCTCACACACCACCCCACATATGCACACACACACACACACACACACACACACACACACACACACAAACACGTGTACGCCTGTCACCAAATCTGTCAGCATAAAACACACCAGGCTCATGAGCTGAGACAGCCATTTTGTTTGAGAATCAGCAGCAGCACACAGCAGAAAATGGAGGCTGTAGTGGAACTGAGCGGAGGTGACCGGAATATAATCAGACAGGCAAACAGGTCAGCACGCGCACACAGAAACACACATATTGATTTTCTGGTCTTGCTGATGGAGTGTCTGGCCTCCGTTCTGGACTCTGTTTAGGGTGAGGCTAGTCTGCTTCAACCAGCATGCATATAGTGTAGCTGAACTGCAGGCCGATTTTTGGTGCACTTGCATTTTCTAAATTGATGTGAGTCTTAAGATGGGTTAATAGTCTGTTATGCAGGTTAATTATGACCATTAATTCTGACTGGTTAAAAGCATTCTATTAGTATTGGGTGGTATGGCCAAAAACGTTATCAGGGTATAATTAAAATCATTCACAGTTTTGTTATATATCATGGAATAATGTTATCATTTATTTAAAATAAAATAATTTCACATGCCTAAATCTATTTATGTAGGTCAACAGTAGCCTTTTCACTTGTAACAAGAACCATATTTAACACCTTTAAAATGTTTTATTGTGCAAAATAGTAAAAACAAAACAATGATATAAAAGTCATATGCAAAAATTTGGGTGTGCCTGGTCAAATTACATATTTTGTTGATTTAAGTGCAAATAAGTAAACACCTCTTCTGTAGAGAACAAAATTATGCACATTTTAATGCACAGTCACTGCTGAATTTAACATACCGAAACAGAAAAATACCACATTTAATGCCCTATTTAAGTGTGTTCTCTGTACAGGTTCTAACTTATTTTCACTTATAAAATCCACAAAACATGGAATTTGACCAGGGGTGTTCAAATTTTCACATACAACTGTATGTACATAATCTTATGGCGCTTACACAAAAGCACACAGCAGCTTCTCTGGGCCCAGGAAAATTCAAACATTGTTTTTTTGTTTCATCCAAATTTCAGTTTGGTAAATATTATAGTCATTCAAGCTACAGTATCAGCTGACAAGCCGTGGATTCTCGGCCTGATGCAAGGACCAAACCCTGAGGCCGTGACGTTATCTGATGCAGTTGACCAAGAGAGGCTGTACTGACAATGGTTGCTAAGTAACAACAATGGTCACTTTGGGCTAAGCTGCTTACATCCACTCATGTTTTGGAGAGACTTTGGGTGTCCATTAGCTAAACACTGATAAAAATGAGATATGTTAGTTTGTATGCTAGCTATGTTTGTTTCATGATAAGAATATAAGATGTTTTTTTGTTGCATAGCAACACGTCACATGTGGTAGAGCTACTTTATTGGTGGAAGAAAAAGCTGCCGTTGAAAGCATTTATTTCAAGTAATGTTTGGAGCTTTGCTGCTTTATTTTTTGCTTTACTTTGCAAAAATGTTGTATAAAAGCAATAGAAACTCATTGTGTGTTGTTGTGAATAACATCATGGCTGTGAATAAAACTTACTCTCAGCTCAAGCCTGCAAATCACAGCCATGATGCTACTTACAATGACACATTGTCTGCTTGTCCGATGTTTGGAGCATCCAACTAGCATTGCGATTCGATTTTTAGGCCTGTTTTGTGCCTTTTTTTTCTCTAACACAATGGATAGCTTTGCAAAACTAGTTCAAACTCAACGATTATTATCATTTGTTTACACTGTGTATCCCCAGCAAAGAAGTACGTTAGAACGAACTTGATCATTTGTCTTCACTGCCATGTATTTATTCACACAAACACAGAAAATTAAAACCAAGAACAGGACAACAGAAACATTCTCTACTCTATGAAGACGGACTAACACAATCAGTCCTACAAAAGCTGATGCAAACCCATTTCGAAGAGACAAATAAATGGCACTTTACTAGGCAAGGCTACACACAGTGACCTACAGAGCAAGATGCAACACACAGTCTTCAGCAATATACACAGGTCCAAAAGCCTTAGGTCTGAGCTATTGAAGCTCTTTATACCTTCAATTGACATCGACCCACATTGAGAGGACGATTGGACAGTGTGTAGTGGAGCTGGAAGACACATTGAGTAGCTCTAGAGGACCTTGACAGAAAGAAAATTCCCACTACAGGGCTCCCCACATGAAGCCAAGCTGCAAAACACACTACTCTCCTCCTCTTACTCCACTCTACCTGGACTTCTCGTAGGGAGTCCATCTCTGCTGCAGGGTGTGGAACCTGTGCTGGCTGGAACACAGGGATAGGAGCATGGGGCTGTCACTCACTCACCCACAGGCCAATCAGGACGAGACTGACGTCTGTGTTCTCTATAACTAAAGGTTTTGCTTGGCAAAAAAAAAATCTAATTTATACAACTTTCCAGTTACTCCGGATGTAGTCGATTAGCCAAGACATGTTTGGTATCCAGATTTTGCTTGTGGAGCTACCACAGTAACATTGCTAACAAAGACTAGAGGTCAATAGTCACCCAAACTTTTCTGCAGCTTTCCAAAAATGACCCCAACATTCAGACATACAGTGATGTTTTATTTATTTTTATTGTTCATAGTTAGTCATTCTGTGTCCTACACTGCAAAAAATGATTTCTTGTCAAGTGAAATGACTTTAAATCTAGTCGATATATCTAATATCTCACATTTTGAGATGTTTATGCACTTCTTTTTTATCTAGCTGATTTTTAGACATGCTTTATTTGTTTAGGTAACTTTATTAGGTAATTTTTTCTCACTGCACTGGCAGATAATTTGGGAGGTTTCAAGCACATTTCTTAAAGCAAATTTGTCTGCCAATCTAGTGAGATAATTTTACCTAATAAAATTACTGAAAACAAGTAAAAAATGTCTAGAAATGAGGTAAATAATCTTAAATTAAGCTTACAACAATCTCAACAGGAGAAATATTAGATTTATTAAGTATATTTAAGATATACTTGACAAGATACAATTTTTTGCAGTGTAAGCCACATCGACAATTCTGTGCCACCTTAATGAAGACCTGGATGTGGTGTGAGTGTGAAAAACGTTTTGGGTGACTATTGATTTCTACTGTTTGTTAGCAACATTAGGCTTGTAGCTCCGACGTTAAGCTAAAGATACAACATTTAGACACTAAACATGTCACAGCTGATCAACTACATCCAGAGTAGGTGGGAAAATTGTTTAAATAGAATTTTTTGCCAAATTCTTCTGTCTCAGGACTAAGTCCACTATTGAACCTTTTTGAATTCTCAATAGTCCTGTACTAAGTTTAATATGTTTCCAGAAAATTAGCATTTTTTTGCAAAGAATCCTGTGCATTCCACCACTGATCAGCAAGCTATTGCAAGTGGCTTGCTAGGTATAATGATGTCATACTCAGTTTTGCCCAACTGAACTATATCTACCCCCAACCACCAAGTCCCAACCCCAACCCCAAGATTAGCTGCCCAGTGGAAAACAAAGTTTGACTCTGTGTTCTCTGATCACTCTTCAAACTGTCTGATTACATAAAACATTAACTGAGAATACAGACACTCAATTCCAGTGGTAATCTCAAAAACGTTATCATGCATGCTAATAGAAGCTAATTCACTTACCCACTTGGTCCGGGTCTCTGGTTTGGGGGTAAGCGCCAGTCATTGTTAGGTGGCTTTTGCTGTGGAAAGAAGAGAAAGATTGTGGTCAGATTATGTTTTGAGGTTCAAAAATTCTGGCGCCCAGTCCTGGAATGAGTGCTCTTCTGTGATGACATAAAGGCCAGAGATTCCAGACCAGGAAGTGCTGTTTGTAAGGTCATTATAGAGTAAACTGCTGATCTGAAACTGGTAGGAAAAAAAGCAGGGGAAGGATTGAGAGGGTTTTTGAGGAATGCAGCAAGACGCTGAGTGTGATATAGAAGCAGATATGTGGTAGGCAGGGGAATTGAGTGTGTGAATAATTGAAAAAGCCATCATGTCGCTGCCACACATGAATGCATCTACACAACAGGAATGCACACCAGCTCACTCTGAACAACATAAGAGTTAGTCAGTGCCGCACATCATGAACATGGGAACAGCTTCAGGCAAAGCCGCATCCTACACTTCCTTTTGAGAGTGTATGTTCTACATTAGAAATTAGAAATGTGCTGAAAAAGGTTCTTTGCACAATAACATGGAAGAACCTTAAAATACTATCAGGGGATGGTTCGCTGGAGAACTTTTTTTTTTATGAATGAGATGTGTGAGTGTGAAGAACCTTAATGAACCACCACACAATGTTCTACAAAGGAGCCTTGGATTGGTGTAGAACCTTTATATTATGTGAGGGTTTTTTTAAAGTTCTAAAAGTAATACTTTACTTCAACCTTGCTGCATAATGTTGACATAACCACGTGATGGAAAATGTCGTATGATGTCACATGCTGTCATGACACGTATATATCAGGGTCATGCTACTGTTACTGGTAATTGCCATAATATGCCATAATGTTTGGTACCAAAAAAGTTCTTTACACTCACAGATGGTTTTTCAAACATGGTTCTTTAGGGCACCAAAAATACACATATATATATATATATATATATATATATATATATATATATATATATATATATATATAGTTATATAGTTATAAATAAGTTCTCTCTATATATAGCACCTTATATATATGTGCAGGACAACATTTAGCAATGCTGTCCTGCACATACTGAGAGTTTCTGAACTAGCATTGTGAACTCTTAATCTTTTTTAATATTCATCGTCTCATAAATCCTGGCCCACATCTGCTGCTTCCCCAGCTACCGGCCATACTGTGCTGGACTGAGCCTCGGTCAAAGAGGAGCACGTGTGGCTCTAATGTCCTACTGTACTGATCCTCTAAACTCCAGACAGGATTACAGTTGCTGGGCCAGCCCTCCAACTGCTGGCAGCTCTCCCACCCACACGTGCAGTTCAGTCGGCCCAGTCTGAACTCGACCTACTGCCCAAGTCTGCCAACAGTGCCTCTAAAAGCATGCTTCCTCAAAGCCCGCAACAGCTATGCATTCAAGCATGAAAATCCAATGCGCTCGCTTGCAGTACATAGATGACGCTTTTTTCCTTGCTTGGTCATCAGATCTGGTGATGATCTAAACACAGTTTGGCTCTGAGTGAATAAACAGAATGCACATAGTCTCAGAGCTCCCAGTCTGAATCATAAAGATTGCTTGGGTTGGTCTGGAGTAATATCACAAACAAAATGTTTCCCTTTACAAATTATCCCCCCCCACCCCCGCTTGGTATCATGAGAAACCAGGATATGCTTTAGCTCAGGTGGGACTCCTCACAGACAAAACATCCACATCTCCTGGAACCTAACGGGCCTCATTCACCAATATCTTCCTACGTTTCTACCTAAATTTGTTTTGGGAAAAGTTCTAAGATAAAGTTTACGTCAGATTTATGACGTGTTCTTAAACCGCAAAATTGTTCGCACCTTTGTGCTCTTGAATGTATGTAGATTCTGTTCTTACCTAAGAGCAGAATGTCAGAATCTTCATAAAAGCTGTGTAAGTGGGCTTTTAGGAAGACATTGCTTCTCAAGAACAGTTGGTAAATGAGGCCCAATTTTCTCAAACACATCAGCAATCTCAGGTGAAGCTACCTATCTAAATTTGTTACAGCTCCTGTCACATTTCCACTCAATCTGTTTCTACCATGTTAGTGTCACACTTCAGTTTAGTGCTCGATAGCTCAGATATGTTGGAAACACTTTACTGTACACCAGTGTTCATGAGGCTACATGACACCCTTCATGCCAACTGACACTGACTTATTCCAATAGGTGTCATTTGTCATAAAGGTATTTGCCAACTTTGTGGTTAACTTGTATGGTCAATATATATATATATATATATATATATATATATATATATAGACCATAGAGTTTCATTTTACCAATTATAAGATTTAAGCTTTATCACATCATCTGCATTATGTCACTAAGTTACAGTGCTAGTTGTTATAATGTGCTGTATTTCACCCAGAAAAGGGTCATGACATTGACATTGACAAAAGCAGCCTTTATGACAGACAATGCCTGATACTGAGAGTAAGCCTTTATAAGTGTTCACGTAGGCTTAAGTCAACCATCATAACGAGTATTACTGATATTTTAAGCCTAGTGCATCTATAGAACCCTCACCTTTATGAACGAGCTACTGAACAGTCTTCTGGAAAGGCTTGTGCTCAAGGCAGCATTTGGTGTCTTAACAAACACAAAGTCGCTCCTGCTGGAGATGGTGGAGAAGCATGGTGAGTATGTACGCTTGTGAGGGTCCTGAGAGCCCCCCACCACCTCCAGGTATCTAATAGGACCATCAGTGTTCAGCTGCAGGTGGAAATCCTTGTGTTGGCGCTGACGCAGAGCATGCTTAAAGCCCAACCTGTGCATCAGGCAGGCCAGGTGACCACGGTGCCCAAGCCATCGCACTGCTACCACTGAGATAGTCAGGAGAGAGACGGCTATGATGCAGGATAAGGAGACTATGAGGTAGAGCGATAAATCTGATGAGCCTTTATTCTGTCTGGATGGTGAGCTCCTGCGCTCAGAGGAAGCATCTGTGGCTTTCTCAGTCACAGTGATGTTTACAGCCACAGTGGTGGAGAATGCAGGCTTGCCATTGTCTTGCACTAGTACTATGAGGCTTAATACACCCTTACGCTCATCTTGCGCTAACTTTCTGGCTGTCTGCAGCTCTCCAGTGTGGGCTCCAATGTGGAACAGTGCAGCATCCAGCCCAGCCAAGCTATAGAACAGCCAGGCGTTGTGACCACTGTCTTCATCTATGCATGTTATCCGATTGACCACATGCCCGGGCCCTGCGTTGCTTGGCACCAGAAACTGCAATGTGCCCTCGGGAGGAAGCACAGGGTATAAAAGTCTGGGTGAGTGATCGTTTTGATCTATGACAAACACGTGCACTGTTGCATTGGAGCTACGAGCTGGCGACCCCTGGTCACGGACCTGTACCACAATCTGGAACACATTCATCTGCTCATAATCGAGTGCCCTCATGGTATAAATGTGCCCTTTTTCTGGATTTATGTAGACAAAAGAGGACACAGGGTAGCCGTGGACATCGCTTTCCACTATGGAGAAAGACAAAGTGGAGTTCTCGCCCACGTCCGGGTCAAATGCAGACACGGACAGAAGAGGAGCATTTGGAGCATTGTTCTCAGCTATGTCCACTGAGTAAGAGGGCTGTGAAAAGACTGGCGCGTTGTCATTAACATCTGAAAGGCGAACCACAAAGGATTCCTGCGAGGAACGGGGAGGGGAGCCGGAGTCTGTGGCCATCACAGTGATGGTGTATTCAGCCACAGCCTCCCTGTCCAGCTGGCCATCGGTCATTAAAGTATAGTGGCCCTCATAGGAGTTACTGATCTTAAAAGGCAGCTCAAACGGAATCTGCACATTCACTTCTCCATTTTTCCCTGCGTCCTCATCTCTGATGCTGAGGATGGCGATCACAGTGCCTGGGTTTACATCTTCACTCAGTTCATGTGACAGAGAATTGATGCTAATTACTGGAGTGTTGTCATTGACATCGATTATTTCTACCTTAATGTTGCAGGAACCCTCCATTGCAGGGGTTCCTCTGTCCCTGGCCTGAACTGTGATATCATACACATGCGCTTGCTCATGATCTACCATGCCTATGACAGTGATCTCCCCTGTGATGGGATCCACACTGAAAAGCTTAAGAACATAGCTGGGAGTGAATTTATCAAACGAGTAGAAGATTTCTCCATTCAGACCGTGATCAGCATCTGAAGCATTTAGAGCTGCCACTAGTGTTCCAACTGGAGAGTTTTCTAAAAGACTCACTCTTTTCACTGACTTATCAAACTCGGGAGCGTTATCATTGACGTCAAGCACGTTCATAAAAATAAGAGTAGTGCCAGATTTTTCTGGTTTACCGCCATCGACTGCGGTCAGAATTAACCGGAATGCGCTCTGCTTTTCTCGGTCGAGAGGTTTATTTAAGACCAGCAGTGGAAGTTTAGTACCGTCACTTTTCATGTCTACCTTTAAAACAAAGCAATCATTGGGACTGAGGATGTAAGAACGGAGAGAATTGCCACCCACATCCGGGTCGTACGCGCTTTCTAAACGGAACGTCGTCCCTGGGGCAGCAGCCTCGGAAACTTCCAGAGAGGTACCGTTAGTTTGGAAAACGGGCGCGTTGTCGTTCACGTCCACAACTTCTACCGTGACGCGATGCATTTCTAGAGGATTTTGGAGTAAAATTTGAATCCGAATGTGACATGACGAACTCGAGCCGCATATGCTTTCCCTGTCGACCGCCTCCTTGATGACTAATGCTCCACTTGTGGAGTCGACGTCGAAATATTTAACGTTAGATTCCGAAACAATGCGCAGCTGCCTGTGGACTATGCTCCGAATGTCCATACCCAGATCCTTACACATGTGGCCGACGGTAGTCCCTGGTTTGGATTCTTCAGCTACGGAATACAGAAGTTCTGAAGCTTGGATTTCAAAGCACAAGCTCTGGAGAACAATCCAGATCAAAGCCCGAGCAGATGTCCTCTCGTGCACCACTTTGGAGTCCATTACCAGATCGTTTACCACAATAAATCCACGTTTAGATTACATAGTCCATGTAAGGGGGT